AGGATATTCGTCGTCGAGCAGGTAGGTCTGCTTTATATGATTATTTTAAATTGGAAGTTTTGACGTTTACGCTTACTCTCTCTCTCTCTCTCTCTTTCTCTCTCTTTCTTTCTCTCTCTCTCTATCTCTCTCTCTCTCTCAAATGTTTAGCATTACTTCAGTTTTTCCCAATCTCGCTACTGAGGGGACTTGCGCTCTATTATTGTTGACACCCACTTCTTTCCTTGATCACAATCTATTATGCCTTCCTATTGACCATCTAAGTGCAAGTGATTGGAAGGCGCCACTGGTAGGTCCTACTTCTTTTCTCCCCCCCCCCTGTTATTTCTGTCTATTGCCTCTCCCCTGCACTAAATGACCGTTATTGTGTCGATGTACTTCTCTTTACCAAAAAAAAATACTATCCTTTAGGTATCAAACAATGGTTAGTGGGTGGTTGGCGCGTGCTCTGGTCTGGTTTGCTCTTTCTTTCCTATAAAAGAAAACAACTATTGTCCTTCTCTCTCCTCCTTTTTTTTTTTTTTTTTACTCTCTTGTAACACCTCCAGTCTTCGGCACTTATATGACTTTATTGTTTTGTAAAACAATGGTTAGCACGAAGCAACCTTTCTCGAATTTGTATGACAAAAAGAAGAAATAACGATTTTTTAATGGTCTGAGGTGTTGGGTTGCCCTGTGCATGTTTTTGTCTTTTGTCGTAGGAAAACTCATCTCCCTTGGGGAGGTTTAGCTGTATGCAAATGAGGGCATAGTAATGTTTCGGTCGCACGGTGCGCAGGCGCACTTATTGTTCCGACTGGTGGTACTGTAAAATGTGAGTCATCCGCACCAACGCACGGCAGACGTCAGCAATAAGTAAGTTGTTACCCTAGAATTACAAAGCACTATCCACTCAGTACCTAAAGATGAGAAATTTGACGGAAACAATTTTAAGTTTCACAACATATCAAGCTTTTTCGAATGCAATTTTTTAACATTTTGATAAAGACTCGGAATAAGCCTACGATTTGAAAAGAGCAGATACAACGTTTTATTTGGTTTCTGACCTCGTGGTCCTAGTAACTCAAAACGGCCAAAAATATCAAAAATAGAACTTTTGTATTTCTAAAGTAGCGAAGTGGTACACAAGTGCTCTACCCTACTTATTCGTTTCTGGGTGCTCTCGGGGTAAATGTACTGCCAAAACTGTCTAATACGGCCACATATTGTCGCGGAGAAAAGTGACCGTTTTAGACAGGTGGCCGCCTTACACAAAGTCGTTATAAAGTAGAAATCATGCAAAGGGGAGTGGCCGTGTGTAGAGGGGATTGTTTTATATACATGTGGCCGTTAGAGCAGGATCGACTGCACATGTCGATATTAGATCAAATAATATAGTAATGTTTAAAGAAGCCCACACTCACTATTAAAGACAATCGGGATGAGACAGATGCAGCTTCTTGAAAATTTGTGTCGACATGAAGACTTGAACATCTTTCTCACTCTAGTTAAATTGAAAGCTAATGCGGCAGAGATAGACACAGAGCAGCTTACATGGACAGATGGGTGACAGAGAAAGAACCAAGATAATATCGGTTTCTGAGAGTATTCAAGCAAAGAAATTAATGCCGGACCGTGATTGCTGATGTCAATTGCAGATTGTGCACTTTATGATTGTATACACTAAACTCTAACTGGTTTAATTGTAAATAGCATACAATGAAAATGATAATGAATCTGTTTGTATTATTCATTAGAAATGACGCACATTGTTCTGTCAGATAGTGCACTTTTCTGTTTAGAAGCACAAAAAAAACCAATGTCATTTATTATGCATTTGTGGGCTGGCATTTGTGAGTGAGCTCGTAGGTCTTTGATTTTAGGTACTTACTTATCTTGCCCACGAAAAGAAAAGGCAGAGATTAGCGTGGGTGGTTGGCGGGTGCTCTGGTGTGGTTATCTCCTTCTTTCCCCATCAATGTCTACCGTCCTTTTCTCTCCTCTTTTTTTCCTGTCTATGTTAGTCTCTAATAACACCTTTGACCTTCGGCACTTATAATTATTATGATCTACTTGTGTTGCAAGTGCCGTGAAACTATTACTATATCTAAATTTGGAGAGAAAAAAAAAGATTGGATTGTTTTAACCGAAAAAATGGGTAGAGGGAAACAAAATAAGACGTTTGACCGATCGCCGCTGAAGACCTCTCTGTAAAGCCGTGCGTATTGCGGAGTGTATTGTACAGTTCTGTGTACATCCTTAGAGAAAAGTGGACTTGGCGCTCATATGACCTTATGCAGTTGCGAGCGCCGTAAAGGCCTCTACTATAATTTTTTTTTTAAAGTGAACTGTGTATACCCGGATGGGGGAAGGGGAAGTAAACCTGTTTTGCTGGTCTGTGTGATCTCTCCTGGCTCAAACCCATAATCTCATTCTGAGTGGCATGTTCCCGTCTGAACAAAAAGCATTTTCAGGTAAGAGCTTTTCGCCCTGTCAAAATACTTTCTTTCTTTTTTTTTCCTGTAGCATTATCTGAATCCCTCAGTTGTATCGCGTACCTATCATGTGACGCCCACGTCAAGGTAACTGAGTGGGTGGTTGGTGGGTGCTCTGGTGTGGTTTACTCCTTCTTTCCTATCAAACATCTCTCGTCCTTATCTCCCCTTCTTCTTTTTTATGTTTGTTACTCTCTTGTAACACCTCTAATCTTCTGCCGCTCATATGACCTTATGCAGTTGCGAGCGCCGTAAACTTCTGCTTTTAAAAAAAGGTAACCGAGTCTAAAATTGTACTCTGATTGTACATTCCACCGATGGATCGATCCCATCTCTGTTTGAGATACAACATACAAATGTGCCACTTTTAACTAAATAATTATAGTCTGCGTTTGATACCATTTATATGGAGGGGGGTATCTTATACCGAGGGGTAGTTTTAAAAGATTGCATATTCAAAAAATAACTCAAAATATTTTCAGCAACACCGATTGCGACATTTGTAATGTTAAATATATTAGACTTGGATTTCTTAGGACTTTTCTTAAGAGATAGTGAATTATATCGTAGTGGCCGATCACTGACAGGTATTCATCTCTTTTTTAAAAAAGAGAGTGAATCTTTGTATAGTAGCGAATCAGTGACTGGGTACTCCACACTGATAGCAGCCATGATTTAGCGATTAGCAGGGGTTGCATGTCTGCTGCTCATTAAGGGCTTTCGACTGAATCGGTTCTGAACATTTGACCAGGGCAAAGAGCGGTATCCAGTCGAAGGTTCAGTTCAAGAAACCCGTAATCCACACTTTTTTCTAAAGTCGACTTTTTTGCTTTCTTGTGGCTGCAGATCTTTCTCCGTCACATAGCATCTTTTCGGTGTGAAGTTCGGACTGTAGATAAGTTATCTGCAGTCCGAGCCTCTCATCAAAAAGATATATTGTGACAAAGAAAGATCTGCGGCCACAGAAAAAGAAATAAAAAGTCGATTTTAGACAAATGTTGCATACGGGTTTTCTTGTACTGAACCGTAGCAGTGATGCTGCTGGAGATTTCCCTGTACACGTCTCAAAAATGCTAGCCATTCGTCACGGGCAACGTTTCATAGTCATCCGAAACTCTGAATGAATAATTGTTGTTGTCGTTGCTGCTGCTGTTGCTGTTATGCTGTTATTGTCGTTTTCATTGCAGTTGTTGTAGTTGTTAAGTGAGGGTGTTGCTGGTGTGTTCATAGACCATGAAATTAACATTTAGCGCATATTGTTCTTTTTTGAATGATTAATTGCCGATGTTTACAGCTTTGATGAAAATTTTGGCAAATAGATTATATCTGCTGTAGGGTTGCTTTTGTTGTTGTGCTTGTTGTTTTGATCGTTTGTTAGGGTTTTTTTTTGTTGTTGATGCTGTTGTTGCTTTGTCTTTGTTTTTGGTAGTGCTTTGTTGTTGTTATTTATTTATATTTTGTTGTTTTTGTTGTTGTTTGTTGTTTTTGTTGTTGTTGGGGGGAGGTTTTAATGCTGATCCAGTTGTCCTACCCGCTGTTGGCGAATAATCCAATAAACAGCCCGTGTAAGAAATGCACAGAATGTTACGTC